CAATGAGCGTTCGTTCGTAATCAGCGCAAGGTGGCTCTAGCAGACAATGATGACAACGGGGCGAAATGCATCTGGCACTGCAAATCCTCAAATGTCATGAAACCGGAGTCTGACCCCCCAGACAACCAGGAACAAGGAAACTGTACGATACGCCGTGAAATCTGAACTTAGATGAATCATGCTTCAGTACAGAATCACAAATATCATCATCCATTCGGTGAAGAACACCAGTAGGTACCAGTTGAGATAGCGCTCTTGCGATGTGGAAAACTTATATCGAAGTCTATCTTTAATAAATAAACTTCTTGGAACCTTCATAGTAAAATATTAACATGTACAACGCTAATATTAAGGCAAATAAAGTCAACAAAGAGATTACTGATGCTGATAGGGCTGAAGTTGTAGCCAGACCTTGGTCCGTCAGAAGAAACGCAGTAACGCAAAGAGGGTGCTTATTATCAAATCCCTTTGTGAAATGAGAATTCCATTACTTTCGTTGCGATTCCCATTTCACGAAATGGATTTATAGAAAATCTTTCGCAACGATCGCACATCTGCCATTCTGACATTCGAACGATTATTAGCAACATACTTAACAAGCTACTGTAATAACTCAGGGAGGCATTACGCGTATGATCAAGGAATAAGCCATTGGTCAAAACAGCTACTGACTTGTGTCGTTGCTGACCATCACATTGTTCGTCTTCGTGTTTCCGGAGTTGTGGATCCTTGTCGACGAGAAAAGGACCAGCTGAAGAGAACAGGTATGATATTGATGCAGCGCTACTACGCGATAGGAAGATCGGTGTGAGAACTTACGTTGACGAAGCTGACGGCTCCAAAGCCAGCAAACATGGCCACAACTGCAGCACCTATCACAATATCGTTTTTTTGTTAGTATGGTTTCCAATTTACGTAGCGTTGCAGAGGCCAGTGTGCCATGCAAAGGCCGTTTCATCGTTCCACACTGTTTGCTGCTCATTTACGCTGTGAGGTCAGCTCTTGAAAGTTGAAAGAGAAATATCAACGAGACCATGAACGAGATTCATAAACACCGTCGTCGTCATTCGACCGGTACGTCCACATCCAGTCATCATGAGGGCCGTTCCCGACTGCTGATGTCGGTTAGCCTAATCTAATAAACGCGGATTAACAAATCATACGGCACGGCCTCAGTGATGGCCATTCGACAAGCACGCAAAAAGATGACCTTAAAAACTTTTTTGTACTTCAGTCCCGCCATCATCATCGCTTGCCGTAGCTATCAGCTGAAATTTGTTTCTGGTCGTATGCCTACATCACTTTAATATACTAAGAAGTGTCAGTGCCTAAGACATTCCATGGATCAGCTGAAAAATTATTTCGCCTTAAATACACCGCTGAAAAACAGTCAACATTCATTTTGAAGAGTGACAAAAAGTTGGCTCCATCCTGTATCGTTTATCAGACAATTTATTCAGCCATCAAATAGGTCAAGGAGAACAGATATCATTTTACCAAACACCGATTAGATCTGTGTGAAACAATCGATCTTGTCTTTCGCTATGGGATTTCGAGGTGTCGTTGGGCCATTAATCTCAATCTGGTTCTCTCCTTATCTCTGATTTCTTGGCGCTGACTTGTATCCTCTCTAAATAAGATAAAAATGAGGTTATAAATCAAAATGGAACAAACATACTAGGCAGAAAAAATGTTCTAGAGAGACGTTAAAAATGAAGGTTTACCACAAAACCTGATATTCAACAAGGCTAAATAAATGGTTTCGGTCCAATATCTGGCTGATAAATGTGGATTGTCCCCGCACCGCTGCTGTTTCAGGCGATTTGCCCATCAAGTGATTTGGACACTTTCCTGAGCACGGTTCCTATAAATTCGAAATTCTATCAATAAATTGAATTAAAATTTTAAAAATGGTTTCACTTTGTTTTTCGGCACTTCATGTATGACTCAGGAGGTAGCAGTGGCATTCCTGATGATGCTTTTTTGGCGTAGATTGCTTCTTTCCGATTCACCATTCGAAGCTATGTAAGTCAGTTTTGATGGCCGCTTCTCCTTTCGGGGAGCCGAGGTAGCAGCATAAGACAACGTCTCCGACATTTCCGATTCTTTGCCAGTATTTGAGCTTAGGCAGAAAATAACCTGAGTCTAGGGCAGAGTGGGTCAGGACACCTGACTCATGATGCTCCTGGCTGTCCTCCGAGTCTCTAGCCAGTCGATTGAGCACGTAGTAGCTATTGTACCTCCCTTTTGTGGAAGTATTCGCGACTGTGAAAATTGTTTGAAGATATATGTACGTGCAATCAATTCAATATGCGGTGTCATTCCGTAGACGAATATTTAAATGTTCACATACTACGACATTCAAAATCAGGTCAGTTGCCACATTTTTTCAGAGAACACATTGACTGATATGTTGTGACAGAGAATTACGATGAACTGGAACCACATAGAAAGAACCAAACGCCCTCCCCCTCGCACACGGATCACTGAAAGTATGAATTGTCAACGAAGATGAACGGAAGTGCGGAACGGCTACAAAAACGACAGGATGCATCTAACTTCCCCCCCTCTTCCTGGCCACAAAACAGATTGGAAAGATGTGCCGTCTGCAAACCGACTGAATAATTCATTTGCATAAAAGGACCAATATGCACTGTGAACAAACACCACGGGGATGAAATGACCATGAATTTAGACAGAATGGGTTTACTTTCTTTGCAGCTGTTGTCCTTGTACATATTTGTCCACAATAAAAGCTAGAACCGACGCTACCTCTGCGCTTCAAACCGGAATTGCACATAGAGAGAGTATCGACCTTAAAGAAGGCCTTACGTTTGAACCCCGGTAAGGACGCACGCGTTTTCTTGTTCTGAGGCTGCTAAACGAGTATCATTTGAAGGGAAGAAAACAGGAGATCACATACTATAGTTGTCGAACATCTGTAGATGTATCCTTTCAGAAAGATAGCAAAATACGCATGGCTGAGACCAAGATTAACGTCATGCCATAGGCTTCCATAGATTGGAGCGTTTTGTTGCAGAGGGTTACTTTCTCTAGTAAATGTTCATTAAGGTAAGTTGGTGAAAATGAGCATCGTTCAAGATAATTCAAGTTCTGACCCGACTTTTGGCTACGGCTTGCACTTTTTTCGTGGTTTAATTGAAGACTAGATTGTTTTGCTACAGCAATTCTGCTATTGATATTGTGATTACCCCGTCCATTTATGAAAAAATAATATTTGTATCTGTAAAAATGTCATTTTCTCCGTTTCTACGCCATCAGTCGTATTTTTAACGGAAATGCTTAAAGCTGTGGCTAGGATGGCATACAGCCCAACGTTCCCTTGGTTGTAATCAATTGTTTACCTCGGCACGATGGAACGTAAGCCATTCAACCACGATTTGAGCTCATAACTTTCGACTGTGACTCCTGCGTTCTACACATTGAGTTATCACTGTCTGTATATTGCGTTTGTGACTGATTTCACTCAAATCTTGAAACCTCAAGTGAAGAATTCCAACTCTCACTAGTTCTTCTCACAGAACTTGGCTGAACAGCTTAAATAAGGTTAGTGACTGAGAGCGAGTGTCACTGACGCAACTCCTTGTTAACGGGGAAATAGTCCAACCTGTGGCCTAATACTGACACTGCAACGGTCTTCGCAGCAACAAGATGACGAATGGCAACAAAATTTTAGTTTCCCGCGCCTCAAGAGAAAAGTCAGAAGACATATAGAAAGTTTGCTAAACGATGCTCAAGATAGGAATTATTTAACTATACGAAACTACTCAGCTTGGGCATTGTGGCGAATGTCTCCAAAAAGGAAGGATATGCAACTGTTTCTTGCCAAACCGACTGGCAGAAAACCCACGGAACCGCCAAGATTAACCCGGGGCAAATATATGGAAGAAGTCTGCTCCGGGCTCCAGACGTCTTCTGCCAAAGCTCAGACGCTAAGACAGGATCGGGAACGTTGCAAGTTCTGTCTGAGGCGTCTGCCTCCGCAACCCGAAAGGAGAAGCGACCATGGAAGATGAAGATTAAACCACTCAGATGTCCTTAAACCGTAAATACCGCTAGAAACTTATCGAGAAAGTCATAAACGGTCATGATCATTCTGTTTCGATGATTATTTATCCTTTCTGGTTCGGAAGGCAGATGTTTGGCAGCGTCTGACCTTGTGCAGAAAATAAAACAAGTCTGAAGCAGAGTCCGTCGAGACAATTGCCCCAGGGATTGTCGTTCCCTGGGTCTTCGGCCGGCTATAAACGATAATAATTTTACTGATCTAAACGATAACATTATGTAAGCAGTATAAAAACTAAAACTGAGAAATGTAAAAACGACCAATTCTACATAATCAGCATATTTATTAATTGAAACGCAATTCATAATACCCAAATGAGTGAAAGCTAAGTCGCTTGTACATCAATGTTCAATCAAAGTCGAACAGTACTTGAGAAAGAATCTTATGCAGATGTTCAGGGGTAATGAACGCGACGCTTTCGACCTGCACAGCTTGGTAAACAGACCTCAACGAGCACTCTTCGACGAACATCTTCAGCAGAACCGCCAGCAACTCAACTGCCTCGTTATTGATTTTCATTTTTTTGTCTT